GAGAGGCAGCTGTCATACGATTTACGTAAAGTGATCGCTATATCCGAGCGCGAATTTAATGAGAATTTTAACGACTGCGCGGATTGGTAGGGGGAAAAATAAAAAGAAAAAAAGGGAAAAAGAAAAGCAAGAAAAAAATGATAGATGCAATTGGATACATGAGAGCGGGCTCTTGCGAAACGAAGCTAATTCGCGCTTTTTCCCCCCTCCCCCCATGTTGCGCGACGATATCCCGTGTACGCGATACGGTGGTGAAAAACTGAAGCCAAAGCGTTTTCGACTATGCCGGACACGTGACCGTGACATTCGTAATATGCCAATATCGCGGCCTTCTTATCGGATTACACCCGATTGATCCGCCGAGAGGCACCTCTCCAAGGCGCACAGAGGCTGGCACGATTCCTATCTCCTGATCCCTCCCCCTCCTATCCCCTCGAGTTACGTCTATGGAATTCATCCGGAATCCCGGCCGGGCCCGGTATCGTAACACGCAGTCGATTTGTATGCTCGCGCATACGTACGTACGTAGGGCATGTAATACATGGGGGGGTATAATACACGCGACGAATCCACGCTATCAGAAAATGCCCGAGGGCTACACACAAGTCTTGTTCTATGTCTATGTATATATATCATCTACACTGACACTTACCCTTGCCGGTTCTATGGGTTATCTGGAAATGGGACCGGGAATTATGTAGAACAGATCAATGATGGTAATCGCTATTGATTAATTCTAGAGTGAGATTCTGCGGACAGGATAATCTCTCGCGGCGATTAAATATCCCCACCCACTTTCATTCTGGATAATTATACATAATAATTATTACACATAAGATATACGCAACTTTTGAAAAACATACATCGTACTGTTGGTGTGAAACGTTAGGCATAATTCTTGACCATTTTTCGTAGTATAAAATGTTGCTGTAATAATTTTTAAAAATTTGAAGTTGAGCAATATGATTTCCTTAAAAATTTTGCACGTGTCGCATAGTTTCTATGATACCAAAAGCATAACAAAATTTACAACGCTCGCTGAAGGTTGAACATCTTATTCCGCAATGCAAATGAAGATGTCAACTTAAATAACATAAATGAAACAACGCACGAGGAAGCGGTAAAAAACAAAAAGCGGAATAGTCACGTTTCACGCGATTCGACGTGCATCGTAAACTGTCTTCGCGCATCTCAACGCGTATCTTCGTTCGTGCGCGAGATATTATTGCCGGCGAATTTGCAAAATAGCGGGAGTAATATACTTTATATTTTGCCGACACTATAATACACTTTATGTCCTCATTCTCCGCGTAGAAACGTATCGCGTAGCTGCGTTTACGCGTTTTCAAACAGTCGTGCAAGCACTCGCCAACTATCTCATACGTTCCGCATCCACGCGCGCACGTTGCGTGCGTGCTGTCGCATGTACATGCAAGCGTGTGATTCGCATGCAACATGCGGAAGAGGAAGAGGGCTTTTATAGAGTCGATGTGTATGATACGCGCGTCGCGGAATCCCAAGGCAACGCTCTTCTCGGCATTATCGTCCGCTAAATCCCGTTTACACCGACGGTTATCCCTGGCTAAAATCCGCTTAGGCTACGACGCCGTCGACTGCAGCTGGAAATCCGGGGATACGTGTCGCTTCTCTCGCGCTCGCTGCAAATGAGTACTTGGATTTTAAGAGACACGCGCCGAGATGCGCACGATCGCTTCCTCGATTTTGTAGATCTTTATCGGAAATTGTTACGAGAGGCTGTCCGATGCACACACGACATTTGCGCGTGTTTCCTCCGCGACACATTTCTGTATTGTATATTTAAGCAAATAGGAGCGAAACGGGCGCATTTTTGAAAATTACATATGTCAGAATCATCTGCAAGTATAAGAAAGATTTGAAATTCCTTCCACAAAAATCAGTCAGTAAATAATCGATTCACAAATACATAGAGAAATTGGCAGATAATATCTGGTACTGCATTTTTGAGGTTTTGCTGGATTTACAAACCAAGAAGGCGCAATATAAATAGATAGATGGAAAGTGAAAGGAAAAAATATTAGTCACAATTGAGAACTTGTATTATTACATTTTTTTTATAAATTTGGAAACATTTGTTAAGTGTATTGTATATCAGAATAAGGCTCGCCTTTCAATCTTCTTGTGACTATATAGAATGGAAATTTAGTGTTGCATCTTATATTTCCTTCGAATCAAACATAACTAATGGGCGGATATTAAACGTTCTGATTGAACTTATGGACCATAGTATAGGATAGAATTGTACTCGGCAGCGATAACTTTACAGAACTACAAAACAAAAATTCAGAATGGGAAGAAAGTTGCAAAATCATCCGGTATCTAAAAATCTCAATGTAGATACTGATTGTGAGACATTTATGATGACCATACTTAATTTAAAACTATGTTTAAACATTTAATACTGAATTTTTATTTACTAGATAATGAACAAATTTCATAATTAAATTACAAGAACAAGATTAATGAATTTCAGAAGATAACAAAAAATAGTTGCAGTAAAATTTATTAATTTATCCATTACGAGAGTATTCTTTTTTTCTCTGTACATTACTGAATTAATTGCAACACACACATATATTTATCATCTTGTATAAAAATTTTAGTTTAAAAGAGATGTTTGTGTCAATGTCATTAATTTTCTCAAAATAAAAGAAATTAAAGCAAGATAAAATACTCTATTTTAAAGTCACTAAAAAAAGCAGTAATATATCGAAATTACATTACCACACAAACTTTCTTAATATTGTATATTTAATCACTCTTTTGAAATACGATTTTAATTTATATCTACATATAATAATATTAAATTATAAATAATTTTTGAATATGATAATATTGGCATCTGAATAAAATTGAGTTCTAATTTTTGTAAAAGTTGTAATCTTTTTCTTGGTTAATTCTATACGATATGGATTTGTAATTACAATACAATACGTTCATCATTGTGGGCACAATCATGTGACGCGGCTAACGCGAATCCATCTGCAGCTGCACAGAAATTAACTTGTTTGGAGATGGCTGACAGAACCGAAATGGATTGTAAACTGTACATCGCGCGTTTATTTAAACGGCGGTCAAATTATGCAAATTAGCCGGTGCCAATCGAATCGTCCGAGCGGATTCTCGATGCAGACGACGGGCGGAGGTTTTGTTCGCACGCGATTGTGATTTAGTTCCCCCTAGATATTCGCGAACGTCATCCGCCAATTCGATTTTTCTGAGCCACAATCGATACGATTGTCGCTTTCCACCCGATTACTTGTTTGCGTATTCGCATATTTTTATTTTGCCTTTTCTCTACCGTTCAAATAACAGAACGAAAAATATTGTGTGATTTGAATAAAATAAAGCAAACAATACATATGAATACATTTATTTATTAAAAAAAATGTTTGCAGAAGTGAAAGAAAATACTTGATGAAATGAAAAATATGTGAATTATATAATTATTTTTTATATATGCTTGTGTGTGTGTGTGTGTGTGTGTATTACGATATTAATATCATTATCTGTTCTAATATCGCGATCATATCTACAAGCAAATACTTTCAAAAACACAAGTGAAAATTCTGTAATAAAAAAATTTTTTACATGAAATGTATAATGCAAAATGGATACTATTTTCCCATGCTTTTACTTTACAAAAAATATTTTGGTTTCTACTTTCTGTTAAAAATATTATTTTTTTTTTGTTTATATATTACTTTTTATTCGTAACTCATTGTTTTAATATTGCGACTGTCGAGATGTATTTTAAATTATTTTTAAGATAACGATGAAGAAAGCAAAAGTTTTTACATTCATTAAACCGACATCGTAGATGAAAGAATTACGATGGCTCTTTTTAGGCAAACTTATACTAATGACAAGTATTACGCGAGAGAAAAAAGATCGTAACCGTAATTAAACGTTCGCCCGAAACAACGCATTAAAAATCTGTTTAAGTATATAAAGAGTGGTCTCTTAAAAGCGACGAAGAAGAAGTCGTGGCTTTTCACGCAAGAAATTTTGCATTCAAGGACATTATTCTGAATCACGAGGTATAAAGTTCGTTCATTTTTGCACTCCCGCTCACCTTATGCCTTTGTGTAAAGATTGCCGTGTGCTTTTTTTTTATTACGGCGCGCGTAGCAATATAAAAGTGGTTGCAAGAATGGAAAGTATTTACGTCGCTATTTTATCGGAATACCAAGAAAATCTCTCGTATTCGGATCGACGTGGATTGCCCGATAAATGTGTAACACAACCCGATAGGATGGCTATATTTAACACTAGCGGAACTAGTGAAAGGGAAAACAACAAAATATACAATTATATAGTTTCTATTGGATCAGTTTCTTTACCGCTGAGGAAGAAACTAAAAGGAATTTCAAGAAAAACCGAGAGTCTAATTAAGAATGATTTAATTTCTTTAATCAAAAGATTTCTAGTTCTCTTGGGAACTCGAAAATGTTGGCCCTGCATTTAAATGACGAAGAATGAAATCTTCTCTTCCTATGCAATCAGAGCTTTCTGTATTTTACATGCACAATTAAATTGCGAATTTAATTAAATGTGAAATTTATTATTATTATTATTATTTATTTTGAAGAATTTTATATGGATTATATGGATTTAAAAAAATAATTATTAGAAAATATTAAATTCTTTCCATAGTTTTATTATCTCTGGAATTGGCATTTTCAAATCTACCATATTATTTTTAAATTTTATTATCTTTGAAAAAATATAATATCTTTATCGTAATTTTTTATTTTACTTGAAGATTTAGTTGTTTACTTTTGATATTTATATAAATTGTATTTTTATATTTATATTATGTTTATTATTACTTTAGCTATAAATAATTAAAACAACACATACAAAGTAGATTAAGCAACGATTTTATGCATATAATAAAATATTAATTTTTATCACACGTAATGATTTTGAAATAACTTTATCATGATAATCTTTTTTAGGTGACGGAAACGTCAGTTTTGAAGAATTCGTCGAGATCGTAAGCAACATCGGTGCAAACACGGCTGCTCCCTCGGATCAGGATCAAGAAGAGCAAGAATTGCGAGACGCCTTTCGAGTAAGTATAATAAACGTAATTTTCCATCGTTTGTTGCATTTGAATCTTCGTATTGCGTGCCCAGCTGCTTTTTCATCTTGGATTGATCCACGCAATTGTTAGATAAATTGTAGCTGTGGCTTTACGTAAGTGAAGCACGCTAATGTCGACCGTGGAGTATTTTCTCGCGGACTAGGCAATTTTCGATCGAATCGGATTATCGGGATCGTTTTCGGTCAACTTCTTTATAGGAGGCAAGTGAGAGGATTTGCTCCAACATCCTCTCACGGGATGATAGAGTCTGCTTCTTTTGCGGGAGATTGAGATAAGACGATAGCTAGTTTGCAAATTACGTTCTGGCGGATATGACATTGTTCACGGAATGCAAAAGTTTGTAATGGCCAAGCGACATGCACTGTGAATACTTGAGTGTTCTATGCATACTTTATACATCATATTAATAAGTTTTCCGCTACGCGAATGTTTTATGGTTGAATGGCGTTTGATCAGTCCTTATCATCACTCTTTTTCTGAGAGTTTATAAAGCTTGATATTTTTAATAGAAATAACAGAATCGCGGTCTTCAAATAACTTTCTCGATTAACTACGGTCCATTTATAGGACGGGCTTTACGTACATTAAAACTCCTTAAATCTTGAATGCTCATGATTATTTTATAATTATATCTTTTATTTCAAAGTCATTTAATTATTACAATTTCTTAAACAGCTTTTTTTGTCTTCTCTTTATTGACATTTTTTTATTTTATCATTACAATAATATTGATACGGTCTTATTACTTTGGATATGAATTGTACATATTCTTATTAAGACGCTTGCGAGAACTTGTCCCATATAGGGAATAATAAATAAATATTAAATAAATAAATGGCCAAATAAATTATATATATCGGATTTATACGAAAAATTTTATTCGCGAGATAATCATGAAATAGGGATCAGAAAACTTGAAACTCTGAGCTCAATGGGATTGCCGGAGAGTGCAATTCTCAATCTCTCCGTAATAAAATAAATTTCGATCTTGCGTTGCTCACCCCTCATCGAAATTTCCGACACGTTTACCAGGAACGTGAAAAATGTATAAAGCGTTCAACGACATCGACCCCATGATACCCGCGGCTATGTGTGTATAATGCGGTTATTTAAACTGATAACGTGGTGGAGGATGCGAGGCACGAAATAAAGAAAATCTTTGCCCGTTATCCCTGTACGCGAAATGCAAACGCCGTGAAAGCGGCACGAATTAAATGTACATATACATGTATATATTGCGAATAAAAGACTCAATAAATATTTCCAGTAGAAATTGCATACAATATTTGCACTGCTTAAATTGCACGTAACCATGGCACGTAACGTAGTATTATTTTAAGAAATTTCGTTTGTTACCGAAAGAAGATGTGTGAGGAGGCGGAAGATCTTCTAACTTATTTTATTTCTCAAATTTCTCAGCAGCGTATATATTTCATGTACCGTACATCAGAGTGGATGAAATAAATTAATTATAATGAAATAAAAAAGTAATCAGAATAGATCTTTGGCGAAAAAGCTGTACAAAGAATTTTAAAAAATTTTTGAAAAGTTAGATAATTGATAAATTTAGGATCCACTTCATCCAATCTTGATAATATCGATTTAATCGGGAAATATTTAATCGGGTTTATATGCTGCCTTTATGGGTGCAAAACGCTCAAAGATGAAAGGATCATAAAGCTTTACGTTTTACTGCTCGTTATGAACAAAGATATTCTTCTATAAATAATGCAACTATCCGTCGCACCTTGTACCTTTTGCTTTACGTTAAACTATGGATGAATCGGGATCAGCACAAAATACTCCATTTAATCCAACACGGCTTTCTAAGCTGTTGTTGCAAGAAGAATGCATTCTGCGATTCGATCGCATAAAGTCATTAGTTACGATTAAAACTGATTGTATAAAAGCCTCGCGTTAAACGCACAAGATTTCGCGATATTTTTAACGAGATTGAATAGTTTAATAAACATACCCACGAAAAATAGACAAATAGTCTTCCTTCTACGAGAAAAATAGATACTTAAAAAATATCTAAAGACGCGGATTGAATTTATCGAAAGTCTGTAAAAGTTTTCCAATGAAGAAGATAAATCTAAGGTAGAAAAGTTCGTAAAGAGATAGGTTCGTAAAGATATATATACGCGAACGGATATCTTGTCTTGAAAAGATGGTGAGGAGGTAGCCCCCGACGGGGCGATGGAAAACACGGAGTGTCGACTTTACCAGAAGTGCACTCGATCGGTGTACGGTCCCTTTACAAGTACCATTGGTATTTGTTCGGATTACCTGACCAGATCGGTTGGCTGTAGTCACCGCCAGGTCCTATTCCCGTGAAGAACGTACAACGCTTGATTTTACGGAATACTGAATCTAATTCACGCCGACCACGCCTTTTCGAAGACGAGCGTGTTTCGGCATTCTAACCGAATCGAGAAACTCCGAGAAAAGTCGTATAAGTATCGTAAATCGTACAACAACCGTAGAATGTAATATATGGCCACATAGTCGTTTTGCGAAAGGAGTTTTTTTTCTTTTTATCAGTTGAACGTATCCGGGATTTTATATTTCAATTTATATCGATAGATCTCAAGACGGTTTAGTCAGATTTTTCGGTTGAATAAAATCCGCGGATTTCATTCTACGCGAGTAAATTTCAAGACATTTTTGACAGATTTTTCAATCGAACAGATCTTGCGGTTTCGAAATGCGCGAATTTCGTGACGTTTTCGACAAGATTCTTTTGATTTGAAGCGGGAATGACAGCGAAAGTTATAAGGATAAAGTAATTCTGATTCGCTCGTCTCCTCGAGTAAAAGCGATTATAATAATTCCATTAAAGTCGCTAAATCTTAGAAGGCTTATTAAGATTAAGTGGCCAAGTGGAAACAAGCGTCAGCTGATCCCGATTATTATACATTGAACTTTCTGTCACGTAGGCAAATGAGCATTCTATACGCTTCGCAAAGTCACGTAGAAATGGAGGATAACGATTCGCGAGATTTACTTTAGATTCTTCTTCGATCGTTACGTCCTTCTGCTTTTTCCCGCGGGCAGAATTCCCCTCGATAAATATTTGCGAGTTTCTTCGTAAAGAAGAAGAAGATGGGACGAGAAGAAGTAGAAGAAAAAAACTTTTGTCTCTCGCATTTCGCACGTGATGCAATCACGGAGTAGATCAAACCAACGAGATTACGTCGCTTTTTTGGAAACCATCGATTCTCTGAATTTTATCTCGATTAAAGACCGCATTTGAACGCGATATCGCTTTCGGGAATAAATGAGTTTCTCGTCAAGGTGCTCAAATAACCGATACAATTCGATTTACAACGACATCTAAAGAGAAGTTAAGAGATTTTATTTTCACGGATGATATTTAATTGAAATTGGATCCCTGATTAAATCTACAGTAATCACATCTGTTTATGTGTTTCGCAATTTGCGTTGCGTATCGCGAGCTGATACGATGATACATTATTCAGAAGAATGTTAATGAAAAGAGATTACGTTATACAAAGTAAATATCCAGAGATCAAATCAAAATTATTTAGACTTCCTATTAAACGAAATGCCAAATATATGTGTGATAATTTACGCATCTAAAATTAGATTGTCGAGATTTCGGGAGTTTTGCACGTTGCATTGCTTAATACCGCGCCTTGGCTCAGGTTTATCTTGACTGACAATGAAAGGACCTCGCATGAAAGGACCTCGCAGCGACCCAGTTGCATCGTGCAGCTTCTATCTCGGAAATACGCAAAGATTGTAAACTTATCCGGATGGCTGAACACAGAATCGAAACGGCAGAATCAAAACGAAGTATAAAACCGGTTAGAATACGGAACTCGATGTCTTAACAATATGCTCGTTGCATGCACAACATTTACTCCTGTTCAGTTAACCGACTATTCCGGTCTAAGACCATATTCTCACTGAATATTCTACGTTACTAATTAGTACTTTGGATCGACTCGTGACGAAGAAAGCGAAAAAATCGCGGTCAAACCGCATCGACGATTTCGGTAGGTAAATATGCATAGCAGTCTCGAAGCGGCTTAATTAATCCACTTTCAACTAATTTCTTCTCTATCCGTATATTTGCCTTGAAAAGTTCTCCGTTCTCATGACAGAAAGAGAAAGAGATATAAACGACTGCGCTTTTTCTCATCAAACAGGGAAACGATGCTGTGCAACCGGTAATCTAATATATAGAGTAAAAACGAACAGCGCCGATTTCCCTCTCGGATCGCCTCCTTTTAACGCGCACTTTATTTCGAGCGTTGCTGCGAGCTTCCTACGCGAATATATCTTCGAGCTCCAGCAGTTTGGTAAAAGGCCGCGCTAAAAGTACTGCAGGTTTCGTCTAAAAGAACGTTGGAGCTCTCCATTAACTGTATACAGTCTGGGTCTAAACATTCGCCATGTTCGTCTCATTTCCGACAACGTCTTCTTTTCGAACCTTTCTTCGGTGGAAGATATATGTCGCATTTGAAGAACAACGTTTTGTCCAACAAATTCTCGTCCCGGCATTCATGCTCCATTCATCGCGCTTATTCGCAATCCGGTCACACATTTTTCCATTTCTTACTATCCCTGAGACCAACATCCTTGTGAACTGGATCCCGCGACCGAAAACGTGTTTCGTCCAGTCAGTCGAGATTCGTCCTCGTTTTCGCTGTGTCGACAAAGAGCAGATCTCGATCTTATGCTGAGTATCCTCCTTCTTCTCTCCCTTTTTCCTCTTTTTCTCTCGGCATTTTTCACCTTTGGGTCCGGTGGGTTTAATTCTTTTACGCAAAAGAATCTTTATTTATCTCGGATGTTCATCCCATGTGGATGATTAGCGAAAGATTAATTGTTACACGTTTAAATGTGAATCTGTCTGTGGAAACATAAATTTATTCTTTTTTTAACCACGCTTTGTTTTAGCTGCACTTTAGCCATATTGAATTAATGACATGCCTGAG